AAAAAAAAAATTAAAACCAATAAAAAAAAACAATTGTTTCTAATTATCGGGCCACGAGTGTATGTATGTATGTATCTACATACATATTGCTTCGTTATAGCTACATATGTATGTACTACATATTTCAGCTCAACAACTTGAGTGCTGTTTTGTGTCTGCAAATATTTGCACAGGGGGAAAATCGTATTTTCATATTTTTGCAAAAGCAATAAAATGTGTTTAGAGGAAAAATTCCGCTTTTAGCGATGTGCTTTGGTTAAGTATGATGACTAATAACTAAAGTACTCGCACTTTTAAATGCAAAACACTTGTGTGTGTTCAAACTACAAATGTATATTCTAAAAATTAAAAAAAAAAATTATAATAATTTAGTAGTAAATATGTAAGTGCATGGTGTGAAACTGTAAATAGATTTCTACTCACAGCTGACAGCATGTTTTCACAACTGTTTGAATGATATAAATCAGTTGTGTCATTATCACAACAAAATACTACGAAAGCAGATAAATTGTAAGTTTGTTTGACGTTTGACGCAGCCCAAGAAGACATAGGCACATTTCCTTGCGATTTAACCTTTGCTTAGCATGCGGGTCTCTTGGACCCAAGTATTTACTTCTGTTTTAAAATGCATTTTTTCTATATTTTAGACAGATAAACAAGTGACTACCTTTGCGATATAGAAGCAGAAAAAATCTTATTGGATTGCCCTAAGCAAGCATATACGTACTTGCGACACATTTATTTCTATCGTGAAATTGAAACACAGGAAAAGCAGTCAGCATCTAGATCATTCATTTACAGTAGAATCGTTTAATTAAATGCTCAGTGAGACTACGTTATAATCCACTCTGGTAGTCGTTGTGAAGCAGATAACGCCAATCTGAAGAACACCTGTATGTAGATACCTACATACATATATGTACAAACATATCTACATAAGTCGCTTTATATCTGTATATGTTTTTACGGTTTCTGCTGATCGATTATTCTATCATATCGATTCATAAAACCATTTGTTCTGTGTTAGTTATCAGCA